AGGATCTGGAACATTCATCCTGAAAAGTTGGTGATCACTCGTTCTGTAAATAATTGCATCAGAGAGTGCAGCAGCTGCTTGAAATTATTTCTAGGCCGTACTAATTGTATTCCATGCTGTACATTTTCTACATTAACTGACAAGAAACGTGAACAAAAACCAAGCAAAACAAGCAGTTTGACAATCCATTCTTTGCTGTTGCTTTTTATTTTAAACATTGGGAATTAGGAAATAAATTCTTTAATTCAATGTATGATCTGTCTAGATGTAGATCTGAGCTCCTTCTAATCCAAAATTCTGATTTGACCTACATGAAGGATCTGCTGAGCCAACTTCCCTTCCTGACGAGTTGAAGCTGATAACTTGATCCTAAGTTTTGATTTTGTTTTTTGGCTGTGGACAATATCTACTCATTGCAAATGGGATCTTCTGCAATTCTTGGTGAACTAAAGAGCTGGACTTCTTTTTAATATTCATTTGTGGGATGTGGGTGTCATTGGATGGCCAGCATTTATTGCCCATGCCTAGTTGCCCTTGAAAAGATGGTGGTGAGCTGCCTCCTTGAACCTCTAGTCCACCCGCTGTGGGTTGACCCACAATGCCATTAGGGGGAGAGTTCCAGGATTTTGATCCAGCAACAGTGAAGGAATGACGATATATTTCCAAGTCAGGATGGTGAGTGGCTTGGAGAGGAACTTGAAGGTGGTTATTCCCATACACTTGCTGCCTTTGTCCTTCTAGATGGAAGTGGTCATAGGTTTGGAAAGTGCTGTCTGAGAATCTTTGAATTTCTGCAGTGCATCTTGTAGATAATATATACTTAATTCGTATTTGTAGTTAACAGGCAGAATTTCGAACTTGAGGTATCAATTGAAATATAGGAAAAAAGTGAGCTGGAGTAGGCTATTCAGCCCACTCTGACATTCAGCATGATCATGGCTGATTATTTATTTCAATGCTGTAGTCCCAAGGTCCCCCTGTATACCTTCACATCTCCTAGCCTCTAGAGGTTTACCCATTTCATTTCTAAACATTTGCAGTATCTTGGCCTCCACAGCTTTGTGGTACAGAATTCTTCAGGTTCTCCACTCTGTAGAAATGTCTCCTTATGTCCGTCTGAAATGGCCTACTATGTGTCTTGCTCTGCTCCCTGAACCTACTTGCCAGAGGAATTCATTCCCAAATGCAATCTATCCAAGTACATCAGAATTTCATACATTTCAATGCGATCACTTTTCATTCTTCTAAACTCCAGTGAATACAGGCCTTGTCACCCAATTCTTTTCTCCTGTGACAAACTTGCCACTCCAGGAATCAGTCTGGCATCGTTGCAATCCCCCTGTGACAATTACATTTCTTCATTTGGGAGACCTAAACTGTGTCAATCTGTAACGCATTTGAGCATAAAAATTTTTCAGAAGGGGAACATCCTAACTGGAATCAGGAAGGGTCATGGAGGACTGGAAAATGGATAATGAAGGGAATGAGGAGAAGACAGAGTTAGCCTGACCTTGGTTGTTGGTCAGATTTTAGAGTCCCTTAATAATGAGGGGATTGCAGAGTCCTTGAAAGTGTGTAATAAAATAGGGCTGGGTCAGCATGGCTTCATCAAGGAGAAGTCATGCCTGATAAATTTATTAGAATTCTTTTGAGGAAATAATGAGCTAGTTAGACAAAGGAGAGCCAGTGAATGTGATCTGTTTGGATTTCCAGAAGGACTTTGGCAAAGTGCTGCACAGGAGGCTGCTAAATAAGATAAGAGTCTTTGGTGTTAGGGACTGGCATGGATAGACGATTGGCTGACTGGCAGAAGGCAGAAAGTGTGGATAAAGGGATCTTTTTTGAGATGGCAACTGGTGACTAGTGGAGTTCCACAGGTGTCTGTGTTGGGACCACAACCATTAATAATCTGGATGAAGAAACTGAGGGCATTGTTGCTAGATTCACAGATGGCACAGCTAGAACGAAGAAAATTACAGCTCAGGAACAGGTCCTCCAAGCCTGCGCCGATCCAGATCCTCTATTTAAATCTGTCGCCTATTTTCCAAGGATCTGTATCCCTCTGCTCCCTGCCCATTCACGTATCTGTCTGGATACATCTTAACTGACACGATCGTGCCCGCCTCTACCACCTCCGTTGGCAACGCATTCCAGGCAAGTGAGGGGCACATAGTGTTGAGGAAGTGGGGAAGTTGCATAAGGACTTGGACAGGCTAAGGGAGACTGTGTATTCTACCTGTCACTTCTTTGCTCAATGTGGGAGAGTGAGAGGTTTCCAATTTGTTCGGAAGAATAGAGGTGTAGACTTGGAAGTCCTAGTTCAGAATTCTCTTAATGTTAATTTGCATGTTAACTTGACAGTTAGGAAGGCAATTGCAATGTTAGTATTCATTTCAAGAGGGCAAGAATACGACAGCGAGGATGTACTGCTGATTTCACATAAGCCTGTGGTCAGACTGCATTTGGAATATTGTGAGCAGTTTTGGGCACCGTAGTGAAGGAACGACGTGCTGGCCTTGGAGGAGGTTTATGAGAATGATTGCTGGAATAAAGGGCTTGTTATATGAGGATTTGGGTCTATATCTGAAGTCGTTTGGATGGATGAGGGAGATCAGATTGAAACTTACAGAATACTGAGAAGCCTGGATAGAATGGATGTGAAGAAATTATGTTTTCATTGGATTTAAAAAATGAAACTAATCTTACTGTGGATCACTGCATTCTTTAAATTAGGTTTGTGTTCTTCTTTTCTGTTTTTATTCTACTAAAATGGGTTTCAGAAAGCAGCAAAACATCTTAGGCCGCAGTTTCTGCTCAAGGATGCGCAGTTGGCTATTACCAAAGACATGAGAAAGGCTGATTGACACAGTGATGACTGTCATTTCAAATTTTTAAAATATTTTGTCACTAATATGAAGACCATTTGATAAATATATGAGCAAGAAATAGTACGAATAAACTCATGCTGATTTTAGTGGCAGATTTCAAAATCAGATACTGCATGACTGCAATTAAAATCTTGGTTGTAGGATGACAACCCAAAATGGCTTCAGTTGAATTATTTCTTCAGTCTGGATGGTAATTCTTACTGTAAGTCCACGATAGCCATGGCTAGCCTGGCTGGCCTTGGAGAAGGTCCAGAGGAAGTTTGCAAGAATGATCCCAGGAATATGAGGAGATGTTAAACAATCTGGGTCTGTACTCAATGGAGATTAGAAGGATGAAGGGGATCTCATTGAAACTTGCGAAATACTGAGAGACCTGGATTGAATGGATGTGGAGATGATATTTCCATTGGTAGGAGAGGCTAGGATTCAAGCACAAAGTCAAGGGCTGACCCTTTAGAACTGAAATAAGGATGAATTTCTTCAGCTAGAGGGAGGCTAATCTGTCAAACTCATTGCTGCAGAGGGCTGTAGAGGCCCAATCATTGAGTGTATTTAAGACAGATAAGTTCTTGATCAGTAAACAGGATCAAGGGTTATGGGGAGAAGACAGGAGAATGGGTTGTAAAACATCAGCCATGATTGAATGGCGGAGTAGATATGATGGGCTGAATGGCCTAATTCGGCTCCTATATCTAATGATGCCTTCTGTCTTGAAATTAAATTCATTTTGCTGCTGAAAAAGGAGCGAAGCACTGAAAGCTTGTGTTTTCAAATAAACCTGTTTGACTATGACCTGGTGTTGTGATTTCTGACCTTGCTGCTGAAGACTTGGTTCAAGATGCAAAGTAACTTTTCATAAGTTTTAAATAAAAGCAAATTAAAATTCATATCCACATCAAGGACTTGTTTGTATACATAATACAGACAGGTGCTGAGTAGAATGCCATTGCAATTATTGAACTCAAACAATCTGATGGGAGCTGCCAAAGTATCAACTGTGGATGTGGTGAAAAGGCATGAAATAAAATACTGAAGAAAATAAACTTTTGCAAAACTTTAGAGGTTGTGAGAGGAAGATGAGCAATTTTTAATATTAAAGCTCTAAAACTTATCTGTCTTAAATACACTCAATGATTGGGCTCTGCAGCAATGAGTTCAACAGATTAGCCTCTCTCTAGCTGAAGAAATTCATCTTTATTTCATTTCTAAAAGGTCAACCTTCACTTTCTGCTCTCGAGTCCTAGCCTCTCCTACCAGTGGAAACATCATCTGTTTTACGTTGATCCATCAATCTATTAGAAATATCCTCATGACATTTACAGGATGGTTTAGCGACTATGCTGTAGTTTAACAGGATCTCAAGGATACATTGATGGAAGAAACTCATCTAGACATTGGTACTGTACCTTGGTTGTTCCTAGATTGTCGTATATTCAGTGTGTAAGAATCTATCCCTCCCTTGATAAGAATATGATGTTAAGTTTGTGAGATGGGGTGAAGGAAATATCATACTTTCCAGAAAATGGTCCGGAGAAGTTGAAATACAGCCTCTGAGAGAAAAATTTGTTATTAATGCCCCATAGGTGTGTGATGAGAAAGTTTCACTATCATGGATAAAGCATCTTTTCATCTAATATATGTGACATGTTTTGCTTTAGAATTTCTGCCGGAAAATTGACCACAGAGATGATCAATTGAAGCCTTTTGCGACTGTGACAATCTTTAAGGCTTCAATATAGCGTGTTAGAGATATAATGCCAGCTTTTTCTGTAATTATGAATTTGCTGTAAATTTTTATGATATTTGCCTTTCCAAACATGAAATTTTCAACTTCAGATTCATCTTACCTACATGTATCTAAAAGTGGGAAGTGTTACTGTGATGGAGTAATTCTTTGAATCAATAATTTTTGTGAATTGTTAATTGTACACTAATAATGTTAACATACTGCAGTTTCAGGCTGGGATTACGGAGAATCCACATTGTATTATACTTCTACCTTTTTGAAGCTTGCATTGATTTTTAAATTGGTTTTCAATACTTTTGATAACAATTCTCATAGCTTAAAAAAAAACCAGCAAATTTGTGCAACTTTGTGTTCTAAATTTTCAGGGTGTAAAACCAGCAAGTTTTGGCAAGGTCACAGATCCAGAAATAAAAGAGATCATTGGAGAATGCATTTGCCAAAATAAAGAAGAAAGGTTTGTAACAAAATCGTGAACAAGTATGTATTGTTTGTCAGACCTGATTACTGATTCCTTTGTATTAATTACTGAGACATTTGGAGCAAATGTTCTTCAAGTTATCAGTGAGTCCTTGACTTAGTTTACAACTTGCCTTTTAATATTTATTATCAAAGAACCATATATTGTGTTCAACATGGAGTGGTACAATGCAGCATTATTTTCAGCATTAATCTTTCGTTGACAGAGCCCTTCAAAACATTTGCATTCAAATCAGCATCTTTATTGCAACTATACTTTAAATATAGGATTTCTGGTAATTTTTTCACGAAAGACTTTGAGAATCAAAACCCCTCATTTTGGGGAAAATGCAGCGGAAATTCTTGGATAGGACCAAAAATACAAATTTTATCAAGATTTGGCCTTGTGGCTTGTTTATAGTCTTAGAATATGAAAAACTAATTGTAAAAGGTAGATTTATTTCTGGTCTCAATATTACTTGAGGAATAAACACTTTTAATTCACCTGGCAACTTTTCTAAAACTATTTCATTCAAGTTATTCGAATCTTAAATGTTAGATGAGCTTTTGAGTAATAAGTTGTATTTATCCCTGCCATTTTGCGACACAAACAATTCTGTTATGTATTCAGTGTGTACACTGTTGCATTGAACGTAAAATTTGAATTTGTATTTAACAACAGAGCTCCCAGTGAAAGGATCCTATAGATATGTGATTGCACTAACACAGCTTTTTGAACCCTGTGAATTCGGGCATTTGAACAGCAATTGCATCAAAGATAAATTATGTTGGGTAAAAGAGATCATACTGCAACAGCATGTCTGCTAAGAGAATGACTATCTAATGTTAAAAACAAGTTCCAGAGTGTCTCAGCTTATAAATCTCAACAGCTACAGCGCATTGAAAGAAGAACAGGCAAGCTTGTCTGCCATGTGGAGAAGGAACTCAGGCCTGTGCACTGATAAATAGCTCAGACTGATCTGTTGAAAAGTAATCTAGTCCTTTCAAGCGCAACAATGTGGAGAAAAGAAACGAGTATAGAAGTTATCGGAAAGATGAAGGCTGAAGGTCAAGTTGCAGATATTGTGGAGATGATCACATACACTGTGAACATGCTTTGTTTTGGTTTATAATTGCAAGAAACTTTGCACACAGTTGTTTAGCTAGGAAGAAGACCAAAGTCTACAGATGCACTTTCTGCTGAAGTGTCAGACTGAAAAATCAAGCATGAGCACTAGAGAATCTAAAGCCACTGAACTCAGCAGATACAAGTTGGAATCTCATAGATCATAGAGTCCCTACGGTGTGGAAACAAGTCCTTTGGCCCAACAAGTCCACACGACCCTCAGAGCACCCATCCAGACCCATCCCCCTATAACCCGCCTAATCTAGGCATCCCTTGAACGCTACGGGCAATTTAGCACGGCCAATCCATCTAGCCTGCACATCTTTGGACTGTGGGAGGAAACTGGAGCACCTGGAGGAAACCCACGCAGACACTGGGAGAATGTGCAAACTCCACACAGACAGTCGCCCTAGAGTGGAATTGAACCCGGGTCCCTGGCGCTGTGAGGCAGCAGTGCTAACCACTATGCCACCGTGCAGACCACTAACCCTAAGCATGTCAGAGGAAATTTGTAATATTCTTCAGATGATGCTGACAACTGAGCAAACAGTGAGACAGAAACTATAGGAAAGAGGTGTTCAAGGCAACAGCATAATTCAACAGCTGGGCAAGAACATTTTGAAACAGAATTAGATCACACGTTATTCTAAATGGACATTGGTGGAAAAGCTGACAATTTGCATGCATATAAAGAAACTAACAAAAGAGGGACTAACTAGAATAACAAAAGTTTTGCTCAAGCATGAGAACAACTGTGTGCATAGTGGATAATGTAGTTAATTCAGTGTGAATGATAGTGTGTACATACTTCTTTTGTTTGAAAACTTTGGATGTTTGGATGGAAATGCAACTTCTGACATGCCATCCACCCCCTCTCCATGCCTTCCATACCCCATGTCATTTATAGAATCCCTACAGTGCAGAGAGAGGCCGTTCAGCCCATTGAGTCAGCACCGAACCCCTGAAGAGCATGACGCCCACCCCCCTCTTGCACACACATCCCTGTAACCCTGCACTTTACCACAGCCAATCCACCTAGCCTACTCATCTTTGGATTCCATCCTTTCATTATCCATTTCATGATAATCCCATTCCATTTCTTAAGTGACACTCCATTCCCTTTCTTATATCCTTACCTATCCCTTGAGTTTGGGTGGGGGGGGGGGGGTGGTGGGGTGGTGTGGGAATCTCTTCAGCCAGGGTAACTTTCTTGCTTGGCTCTCTTTGCCTTCTCTTTTGTTTCCTTTTTCATTCATGTCACCCTCCTGCTCCTGCTCCTGCCGCCAACTGTTGCCAGATGCATTTCTGTAGAATGCTTCAGTTGCATACGTGCCTCCTTCCGCTGCCCACAAAATCAACACGAGTAGACACTCCTTAAATTGACTTACTAAAAACTGAGTTATGAATGCAATTACTTAAATTTATTTATTGGTGTTGACCGTAATTCACCATGTCAAGCATTAAACATTTCCCAATAGACTGAATTGTTTTACTTGAGACATTTTAACCACTTTTGTAATTTCTATAAAGACTGAATTTTTTTAAAAAATAAATTAACCTTGATGAATGTCAAGGTTTAATATGATTGTTTCGTGCATCCGAAACCTGAAATATAGCTGCAAAGCTAATAGCAATTGCTAATTCTGCTAGTTTCTTCAACATAACCTATCTGCAGTCAGTGTAAGTTGTGCAAGCGATTGTAAAATTTCAAGGTCAAATTACATCCAGCACAGTCATATGATCCTGTGTGTTGATTTAAAAACATTGCACTCAAGTAGGCCTCATCCACAAAATTGGCGACAGCCTCGCAATGAATCCCATCGCTAGTCAGTGTTCACTATTGTATTTGTTTGTCGGCTTTAAAGAGGTTCTAAACAAGAAGTTAAACTTTTTTTAAATGTATGGCCATCAATAGTCATGTTTTAAATGCTTTTGCATGTAACTCTTAAATTTACCAAAAACTGACAGCTGGATCCCAGTACAACCCCCAAATGGCTTTTAAAAGTCATTTTCTGTAACTTTAAATTGGGTTAATCACAGGTGTTGACTGACACTTTTTTGTCAACTCATAAACTGATTTTCAAATTTGTTAATCAAACTGTTATGGTACTCTGGTTAAAGTACTTAATTCTAAAATATTGCTTGCTCGTACTGGTTCTTGTTGGCTCTAGTATTTGGCAATGTGCAAATGTATTTGAGTGGAAACTCCAGAATAATGAACCTAATTGTATACTCAGTTTGTGTCTAGATTGCATACTACCCAAAGTGGAATAAATAACTGTTGATTGGTTTTCCAGATATTCTATAAAGGATCTACTAAATCATGCATTCTTTGCGGAGGAGACTGGTCTGAGGGTTGAGCTTGCTGAAGAGGATGATGGGAAAAAAAATTCAATTGCTATGAGACTTTGGGTTGAAGACCCTAAGAAGCTGAAGGGCAAGCCCAAGGATAATGGAGCTATTGAGTTCAGTTTTGACTTGAATAAAGAAAACCCTGATGATGTTGCACAAGAAATGGTAAAGTTCATACACTATTATGAAAGCAATGTAAAGCTTAGACATGAAAAAAAAACTTGAATTTATACAGCGTCTGATCATATTGATGGAACACCCCATTGTATTTTATAATGCTATGCCAATGTAGGCAGTACAGTAGGTTTAAAATTTGAAAACACGTGAATTACTGATTTGTTTTTAGTAGCAATTAAGGCAGGAATATTGGCTAAGAAATGGGGAATTAACCCATAACCTTTGTGGCAAAAACAAACATATCAATTGAGCTAAACTGCCAACAGATCCTGGCCAACAAGTCACTTGGTTTAAAAACTTTGCCCCTAATGTACAAGGTATTTTCATGGTCTGTGGATTCGTTAAGTGAATTGGTTTCTTCCATTTTCCTTCTCTATCTTAAAGATGTTCAAAAACTTTGTTTCCACCAGCTTTTGAGGAAGAGATTCCAACAAATATGAGCGGTCTAAGAGGAAGAAAAATACTCCTTGTCACCAACGACATAGGTAGAAAAGGGAATGAGGCCCTGCAGTGTGAATATAAGGAGTTAGGCAGGAAGTTAAAAAGCAGGACATCAAGGGTAATAATCTCTAGATTATTCCGGGTACCTCGTGCTGGTCAGAGTAGGAATAGGAAGATAGGGCAGATGAGACGAATGTGTGGCTGAGGAGCTAGTGTAGGGGACAGGAATTCAGATTTTTGGACCATTGGGATCTCTTTCAGGGCAAAAGTGACCTGTACCTGAATTGGAGGGGGACCAAAATGCAGGCAGAAAGATTTGCTGGAGCTACAGGGAGGGTTTAAACTAGTCTGGCAGGGAGGTGGGACTCTGAACAGTAGTGAGATAGAAGAGAAGTTGAGGCTGGTACCAAAGTCAAAGAGCAGATAAATAGAAAGGCAGGGAAGACTGATGAATTAAACTGCATTTGTTTCAATACAAGAGGCCTGACAGGGAAAGCAGCTGACCTTGGGGCATTGATGGGAACATGGGACTGGAATATCATAACTATTACAGAAACATGGCTGAAGGAGGGACAGGACTGGCTGCTCAATATTCTGGGGTGCAGATGCTATACGAAGGATAGAAGGAGAGGCAAGAATGGAAGAGGAGTGGCGTTTTTGATTAGGGAAAACATCACAGCAGTACTTAGGGTGTTCCTGAGGGATCATCCAGTGAAGCCCTATGGATAGAACTTATAAATAAGAAGGCGTGATCACCTTGATGGGATTAAACTATGGGCCCAATAGTCAGTGGGAAATTGAGGAGCAAATATGTAGGGAAATTGCAAATAGCTGTCAGATTAATAGGGTTGTAATAGTAGAGGATTTTAACTTCCAAGACACAAACTTGGACTGCCATAGTGTTAAGGGCTTGGATGGGGAGGAATTTGTGTCTTCAGGAAATCTTTCTCAAACAATATGTAGATGACCCTACTAGAGAAGAGGCAAAAACTCAACCTCCTCTTGGGAGATGAGGCAGGGCAAGTGACTGAGGTTTTAGTGGAGGAACACTTTGGGACCAGTGACCATAATTCTATTAGTTTTAAAATAGTTAAGGAAAAGGATAGGTCTAATCCATAAATTAATGCTCTAAATTGGCACAAGGCAAATTATGATGAGGTTAGACAGGAACTTTCAAAAGTAGATTAGCGGTGGCTGTTTGCATATAAAATGACGTCTGGGAAGTGGGAAGCTTTCCAAACCGAGATCATGAGAGCTCAGGGCCAGCATGTTCCTGTTAATGTGAAGGGTGATGCTGGCAGAAGCAGGAAAACATGGGATGCGGAGAGATATTGAGGCTCAGGTCAAGAAAAAGGAGGAGGCGTATGTCAGGAGTAGATCGATCAAATTAATCCCAATAGCTCAAACCCTCCAATCCTGGCAACATCCTTGTAAATCTTTTCTGAACTCTTTCAAGTTTCATAACATCCTTCCTATAGCAGGGAGACCAGAAGTGAATGCAGTATTCCAGTAGTGGCCTAACCAGTGTCCTGTACAGCCGCAAGATGACCTCCCAACTCCTAAACTCTATGCACTGACCAATAAAGGCAAGCGTACTTTACTACCCTGTCTACCTGTGACTTCACTTTCAAGGAACTATGAACCTGCAATCTAAGGTCTGTTTGTTTGGCAACACTCCCTAGGACCTTACCATTAAGTGTATAAGTCCTGCCCTGATTTTCCCTACCAAAATGTAGCACTGCACATTTATCTAGATTAAACTCCACCTGCCACTCCTTGGCCCATCGGCCCATCTGATCAAGGTCCCGTTGTACTCTGAGTTAGCTGCCTTTGCTGTCCACTACACTGCCAATTTTGGTGTCACTTACAAACTTACTGACCATATCTCCTATATTCACATCCAAATCATTCATGTAAAATGACGAAAAGCAATGGATCCAGCGTCGATCCTTGCAGCACACCACTGGTCACAGGCCTCCAGTCTGAAAAACAATCCTCCTCCATGACCTACTGTCTCCTACCTTCGAGCCAATTTTCTATCCAAATGGCTAGTTGTACCTATATTCCATGTGATCTAACCTTATTCACCAATCTACCATGCGGAACATTGTCGAACGCTTTACTGAGTTCCATTTAGACAAAGTCCACCCCTCTGCCTTCATCAGTCTTCTTTGTCACTTTTTCAGAAAATTCAATCAAGTTAGTGAGATGCAGTTTCCCACTCTCAAAGCCATGTTGACTTTCCTTAATCGGTCCTTGCCTTTCCAAATACATGTAAGTCCTGTCCCTCAAAATCCCTTCCAACAACTTTCCCACCACTGATGGCAGACTCACCAGTCTGTAGGTCCCTGGCTTTTCCTTCCCACTTTTTAAAAAAAATAAATGGCACCACGTTAGCCAACCTCAGTCTTTTGACACCTCACCTGTGGCTATCGATGATACAAATATCTGAGCAAGGGGCTCAACAATCACTTCCCTAGCTTCCCAGAAAGTTCTAGGGTACACCTGATCAGGTTCCAGGGATATATGTCCACCTTTATGCGTTTAAGACGTCCAGCACCACTACCTCTGAAATATGGATACTTGTAAAGATATCACTATATATTTCTCCAAGGTATATAACTTCCATGTCCTTCTCAACATTAAACACTGATGCACAATACTTGTTTAGTATCTCACCCATCTCCTGTGATTCCTCTCCTAGGTAGCTTTGCTGATCTTTAAGGGGCCCTGTTCTCTCCCTAGTTAGTCTTTTGTCCTCAATGTATTTGTGGAAATCCTTTGGATTCTCCTTAATCCTATTTGCCAAAGCTATCTCATGTCCCCTTTTTGCTACCCTGATTTCCCTCTTAAGTATACTCCTCCTGTTCTTCTACTCCTTTAGGGAGAGAATATTCTCTGGATTAATAGTCTAGCAATAATACCAGTAGGACATCACTTCCCCACTGGTCTGTTTTAATTTGTTTTAATATCTGTAAGTGTTGTCTCTCACAACTGAATGGCTTTCTCACCACCAAATCACTGAGACTCTTCTTAATCATTAACTACCACCAGTAAATCATCTGTCTAACAAATCAGAAATTTACATGAAATTTACAGGCAGTGCAAACTATCAAAAGTGAAGGGGGGCAGAGAGAGCAGAAGGGGCGAGTCTGCTTTATAGAGGGCTGAGTTGGTAAGTTCCAGCTATCCCCTTCCACAATTCTTCTGTTCTCCTCACAACATGCCCTCCAGCCTATTTCAGTATTGTCTGCAAATGTGGATATATTACACTCTGTCCCCTCCTCTGAGTCATTGATAAAAATACGAAATAAGGTCTGATCCTTCGAGCACTCTCCGAGTTCCATCTGTCCAACCTGAAAAAGACGCCTTAATCCCAGCTGTTTATCTTCTGTATGTTAAGCAATCCTCAATACACACAAATATATTAGCCCCAATATTAAGAGTTCCTATTTTGTGCAATGACCCTTTATTTGGCACCTTATCGAATGTCTTCTGAAAATCCAAATGCACAAAATTTACTGGTTTCCCTTTGGCAGTTCTGCTTGTTATATCCTCAGAGAAAACGAGCAAATTTGTCAAACAAGAAAAATTTCCATTTCATGTGACTCTTTGATTAAGTTATGCTTTTCTAAATGTCCTACTGTTTCTTCCTTCATAATGGACTCTTGCATTTTCAAACAACAGATGTTAGGCTAACTGGCCTATAGTTTCCTGCTTTCTGTCTCCCTCTCTCCTTGAAATGGCTGTCAGATCAGCAGTTTTCCATTCTGCTGGAACCTTGCTGGAATCCGGTGAGTTCTGCAATATTTAGACCAATGCCTCCAATATCTGCACCCACTTCCCTAACAACAGTTGAATGTAGGCTGTAGGCCTGTCAGTTCCTGATAATGTGTCTGCTTTTAGTGCCATTAGTTTGTCGAATATTTCATCTCTTGAGCTACAAATCTCTTTTTCCCCATTAGCACCTTGCTTATGTTATCTTTGAAATGTTTGTGTTCTCCACTGTGAAAACTGTTGCAAATATTAATTGAAATTATGCGCCTTTTCCCTGTCCCCTGTTATTAATTCCCCAGTTGCACCTTCCAAAGGTCCGACGTTTACTTCAGGCACTTTTTCCTCATATACTTGTAGAAATTCTTGCTGATTTGTTTTTATATTTTGAGGTTCGTTGGCTGGCCGAGCTGGTTTGTTGTTCCGCAGATGTTTCATTGCGGTGCTTGGTAACATCCTCAGTGCAGCCTCTGATGAAGCGTCGGTGTGTTTTCCCACCTGGTTTTTAAACTCTGGGGTCCGTTGCGATGGATTGCCTCACTTCTGGGTTTCCTCCGTAGTGGAATGTATATGGGGTCGAGTTCAATGTGTTTATTAATAGCATGCTTCGTGGAGTGCCATGCTTCCAGGAATTCTCATGCTTGTCCCTGCCTAGCCTGTCCCAGGATCTTGGTGTTGTCCCAGTCGAAGTGGTGATTCTCCTTGTCCATGTGGATTGAGATGAGTGAGTATTGGTGGTGTCTTTTTGTAGCCAGTTGGTGTTCATGTACTCTTGTTGTTAGTTTCCTTCCTGTTTGTCCGATGTAGTGTTTCTCACAGTCTCTGCAGGGGATCTTGTAGATGACATTGGTCCTGTCCATGGCGGGGAGTGGGTCTTTAGTTCGGGTGAGCACTTGTCGTAGGGTTGATGTGGGCTTATGTGCCACTCTGATGCCTAGCGGTCATAGGAGTCTTGTGGTGAGTGCTGACATGTTCCTGATGTAGGGTAGTGTGATGTGTGTGTCAGGGCGTGTAGAATCTTTCTGATGCTGTTCCTGTAGGCATCTCCTGACCCAGTTCTTTGTATATCCATTATCCTTGAACACTTGGAAGAGGTATTCTTCTTTCTCTTGGCGTAGTTCCATGTTGCTGCAGCTTGGCGAGCCAACCAACCTCAACACCCACAACCCGAGCTACGGATCTACTCCAAAACCTGTTTTTATATTTCTTGCCAATTTACCTTCATAATCAGTTTTCTTTTTCTTTATTAGCTTCATAGTCATCTGCTGTTTCTAAAAGAAATGCCAATTGCTTCACCTACCACTAGTTTTTGCCACTTTGTATACATTATTTTTTGATTGATATTCTGGTTTTGTTAACCACGGGCGGTGGTTCATTTTAATCATATCCTCATTTTCGATTGGCATAATTTGTGCTGAGCATTATGAAATATCTGCTTAAGTATCTGTCAGTGCTCATCTGCAGGTTTTCCCCTGAGTATTTTCCCAACTTGTTTGAGCCAACTCTTCCTTCATACCTCTGTAATTGACCTTATTTAAGTTGAGGACTCTGGTTTGGGACTATGTTCTTTAGAGAAGGAAACTGCCATCCTTACCTGGTCTGGCCTATATGTGGCTGCAGACCCGCAGCAACGTGGTTGACTCTCAACTGCCCTTTGGGCAATTAGGGATGAGCAATAAATGCTGCCTAGCCAGAGCTACCCTCGTCCTGTAAATGAATAAAGAAAAAAATGTTGCTGTCTCTCAAACAGAATTTCAAAATCTATGATCTTGTACTTGCTACCCCAAGAGGATCCTTATGTATAAGGTCTCCTCTTAATCCTACCTCATTACACCTGACAAGGTATAAAATAGTCTGTTCCTGATTAAGTGACATGCAGCTCTATGAAGTGATCTCTGATGCACCCTCGAAGTTCGTCATCTAAGTCACCCTTGCTCAGCTGATTTGTCCAGATAACGTGCAGATTCAAATCCCCATAACAATTGTCATGTCCTCCTTTTATATTCCTCCAATATTTCCTGATTTATAATTTATCCTACATTAAGACAACTCTTTGAGGGTCCTATTGACTCTTACCTGTGACTTCTTTGCCATTCTTTATTTCCATGCTAGTTCCTCCAAAGTTAAGTTTTGGATCCCCTTACCTGTTTCACTCTCAGTCACATCCTCCTGTCGCTGGCCCAGGACCAAATTTGATGTAATTAATCTAACAGATATGACTGACTCCTGAAACACTGTACCCAGGTACCTCTCCCCTCTTTGTGCAGCAGTGTCCAGTGCTCAGACTCTCTAGCTCATCAACTCTGAGCCAGAGTTCCTCAAGCAACCAACCCTTGCTACAGATGTGGTCGCCGTGGATCACACGGCATCCATCAGCTCCTGCATACAACAGTGTCACAACCCATTGGTTTAATGCACTGGATATCAAGCCCCGCTATTCCCAGAGTTGTCACAAAAGTTGAAGCTTGGAAAAGAAATACACAAAATCCCCAAACTATCTGATTTTCAAACCAGGTTGGTACAAAGCATGGGCTAGGCCTCTGTACTTAATGAAAGTCACTACTCATTGCAAGTCATTAGTTTCTAGCTATAAATAAACAATTTAGTAAATTTATTAAGTTTAGTAAACTCTAAAACCCATAAACTTCTCCTTACACATGGACAAACATAAACGGGGCAAAAGAAATAGGCAGAGGGAAAACTGAGAAAATAGCTCCATAGTCTCTGTTGACAAGATCTCTTGGGTTGGCTCTTGCTGATCCAAAGGTTTCTCCTCGACCTTCCTTTTTCCAAATGCTTCCACAGGTTTACAAGAAGCACAAGATGGCTGCTTCACTAATGGAAGGTATCTGAATTAAGTCACAATTTGCAGAATCTGCTAAAGGAAGAATAAATTGGCTTTCTTCAGTTTAAAGTGGCTTGCTGTAGAGAACCGAGTGATTTTTAGCTGATGCAAATCTGTCGGTTTCTGTTCTAGTCTATCCACATTCTCTCTGTCTTGCTCACAGCCTAAACTGTTTAGCTGACTTAAAACCAATCATTTGTTGGCAGGTAGAGTACCTTTGGGGAACAGAGACCAATTATCAATGACACTCAGCTTCCCTGGTAAATAACCCCTTGGTTCCAGTTTATATGCGTAATGCTGGAACCCTCTGCTGTACAAGCAGAGTTCATAATAGGTATCAAATTCCTTACTTTCAAAATTTGTAGCCATACTTGTAAATCCTTGGTTTAATCTTTCTCATTTCAGTTCACAGATTTTTAACAAAAGCAAAAATAAAGAGGCATGCATTTTACTTGGCTCTGACCTTAAAAAAGAACATTTCAAAAGACAAAATGTACAAAACATGGGATGTAGAAATAATAAAACACCAGACTTGCATCTATTCATTCTTCTTCCCCCTCTTAGACAAACTTAAAACAACCTTTAATATGCATTAAACATTTCACTTATTTCAACATTTTACATTCCGGGCAATGCATCTGCAATTACTTTCCTGCAATATGAATAATCTTACATTAAATGGTTGTAACAAAAATCTCTATGTGAAGTCTTGCATTCTGATGTTTAAACTTTTCAATGAAGGCCAGATTATAATGAGTTAAATTAGTGTTTTTTCAGACCATCATTTTAATTTTACTGATGCTTTGCCTTTTTACATGGTAAAGCATGATAACTCAAATATTAATTATCATCTACCATTGAAATTTTGAAAGAATTTAAGGTGAATTTTTTTTTTGGGAAATTAATTATCACAGGGTTGTAATTTGTGCACTTTCAATTTAATCAAATTTCAATATAAAATGTCATTGTATGCTTCATGTAACGCTAACTATTCTATTTTGTGGTATTAAAATCAATGATAGGATAAGGTGGGAGCTGTAGGAAGCTGAGGATTCGTCATTTCTATTATTTGTATTTTACTTTGCATCAAAATGTTAAATGGAAAAAAATACTTTTTACTCTGCATTGCCAGTGCCTGTGCATTGAATGGGTGTAACCTGGTTATTTTTACAACTTGAGTATAAAACTCTTTCAGTTTGACAGCTTGACATCATTGACTAAATCTGAATTTTTTAAGCAACTTTGAATTGTTTGGTTAATATTTTCCATCAGTCTTGCGTAATGAGAATGGATGACTTTTGTATATTATAACATTTATTCAGTGTTGATGTTTTGGTTGCAGATTGATTCTGGTTTCTTTCAAGAATGTGATGCCAAGACTGTTGCTAAGTCAATACGAGACAGAGTAGCCTTAATTAAATGGAGAAGGGAGAGATGTCAGCAAGTAATTGTGATAAATGCCCAAAAGGAGACGACTGAATTGGAAAGACGGAGGGATTGTTTTCATCATATGGAAGGCACACCCCAATCAGGCCTGCAAATTCCCTCGGAACTCGAAGAACCTGAAGTTGATCAACACGTACATCAGAGTCTGCTCATTAGTGTCACATCTGTTATGTGTAAGTTTAGTTGTTTGATTTTTGCCTTTTAAAGTACAATAGAAACATGTAAAAGTTCTGTCTGATATGAAATTAATTACATTAGTCATTTTTAATAAAAGTAATTTGCTGGCATCTAGCAATTGAGGTCCATGATTGATCAACTCCAAAGAAATTGAAATCAGAAAGCAGTAATGTACATTCTGAGAGAGTTCTTGGGTTAATCTGAATAACGATCAGACGTCTTTTTAAAAAAAAACTATTCAATATTTTGCTGCACGCTGCCACCACGAAGCAGTATGACTTCATTTTCCATTCTACAATATATTGTTCCAAATAGCATATTTGATTCTTGGTTGACTTATGAAAAAGCACTTTTTGTATGTTCTTTCCATAGAATCTGAATGTTCTTGACTGATTTGAAGGTTATGTCCTACTAGTGCCCTAAGTTCTGTTCCTCCATGCTTTCTTCTATTTCTGCATTCTTCTGCAGCCTTGCAATGTTTTAAAAATATCTGTGATTTCCTAATTTACGATTTTGAAGATTCTGCATTTTATTCAGTCCAACATTGGTGACAGCACCTTAAATTGTCAACACTATATAATTGCTTCAGTAAGACACTTCTTAAAATCCGACCTGTTTGGTCATCTAACCTAGTATTTACATATCTGACTTTGCCTCATTATTTTATAATGCTTTGGTGAAATGCTTTAAGATGTTTTATATATTAGCACAATTAACATAATAAATTCTATTGAAAAAGGAACAGAGAATGGATTAAAGGAAATGTAAAATTTGTGGATTAGTATGGCAAATTCAGGAAAGCATGTTCAGCAAAAAGTTGTTTTCCATAAATATCTTTTTGTTTTCATTTTGACATGGCTGTAAATGCCATGTTAATCCACACTTAGAGCCAGAAGACTCTTCTAGAAGTGCTCGCTCATGAGGAAATTAATGTTTATGGTAACATGCAACTAAGTCATGGGAGTTTTAAAAATATTAATACAAATAATAATTATAAAATGATATTGAAATGCCTGCAGAATTTTAAATATACTTGCCTGTATTTGAACATTTTCTCTCTTAGCTGCTGACTGGTCTGTGTTTTGCAGATAGTCCAGTCTTTTTTTTTTAAATGCACCGTTCTGACGCTGACTTTTTCTTGCAATTCACCAATGTAAAATGAGATGGTTTAACTAATATCAATATTGACTCAATAATTATTTTACAACTTCTAGTGATGAGAGCTATCAGTTGATTTTTGCACGGAGCCATTGTGTTTATTTCTTTTCCCTGTATCACTGAGCTTTACTCCAGGTGTCCACTTCCCCAATTTCGCAATTTTTTTTATATTTTGGTGTCACTATCCAAGTCAGTCATTGTCTGAACATACCTAATTTGTGCTATTGTGGTTTTTAATAAGTGTTAATTTATGAAAAGAGAAATGCTCAGCCAATTGAAAAACACAGTATTATTAAATTCTTTAAAAATGGATTTTGAGTTGCATCTGAAACCTGAAACCTAATTGCAGTTTTTGATTTTCTCCTTCATTGGTTTATATGGTCCTGGTTTATTCAGGAATTAGTCTATTTATAAATAGTTCTCTGACCATTTCTGAATAGTTTTATTGCTAGCTGGTTGCAGCATTGAATGAAAATGCAGTGTCTAAATTTTATCATAATGAAAAAAAATTGAAAATGGCTTCAATAGTTTCACAGAGCGGCCTTAGAAATCACCTGTGGTTTTCATAAAACTATAGAATGTGCATAATATAGAAGGAGACTGTTTGGTCAGTCGTGCCTCTGCTGGCCGTCTGAAAAAGCAATTTGCTTTGTCCCACTTCTGATTTTTTTGTTTTCCAGAGGTCTGCAAAACTTATTTTCATATAATGATTTAATTCCCCTTTAAAACCCACAATAAACCTGCCTTCGACACTGTTAGGTTGAACATTCTAGATCCTAATTACTCACTGCATGAAAAATCATTTGCTCATGTTGCTTTTGCATCTTTTGTAATTGCCTTAAATCTGCACCCCCTATTGTCAATTTTTTTAAACGAATGGACACAATCTATCATGATCTACTCGGTCTAGATCCTTCATGATTTTAAATACGTCTATCAAATCTTCAGTCACCCCTGTCTTCTCCAAGGAAAACAGTTCCAATTACACTAGTTCTTTTTTTATTACAGAACTGAAGATTTTCATCCTTGGAATCATCCTGCTTTCAGTCTTTCCAGCACGTTCCGGTCCTTTCTAAAGTATGGTGCCCAGAACAGGATGTAGTACCCCTTTTGAGGTTGACCAGGGCCTTGCAGTTTTAATGTGAATGTTCTCCTTTTGTTCTGTGTCCCTGCTGAAGAAGCCCAGGATATCATTTGCTGTATTGACCATCCCTTAAACTATCCTGACCAGCGTTCCCTGTATTTTATTTTGCTGCTGCACAGATCTTCAGGGGAAAGTGAAAGCCATTTAATGGCACAGTGCTTGGAGCTTTCTAATGTCTGCGCAGCCTTAATTGGAACAATGATCCTGTCACCTCCAGTGATTTGTGGACATATCCACCATCTGTTGCTGCATTCTCATTAGAATTGTATATTGACTTTCTACATACTTCCTACCAAAATAAGCCTCTCTTCTGCATTAAGTTTGCTTATTCCACCAAACTGTTTGTCTTTTAAAGATTTGTGCTATCCTCTTCATGACTTAGAATATTTCCAGGTTTTCTGTCATCTGCATATTTTAAAGTTGTGCCCTTTGCACCAAGGGTCTAGGTTTTTAATGTGCATATGGAAGATAGGTTCCTACCAATTGATCCCTGAGGAGCTTCATTTTAAGCTTTTCTCCAACCTGAGAAACCGCCATACTTCTCACTCAACCACTTGAGTCTGTATGTTACTGCAGTCGCTTTCATCCATAAGCTCTAACTTTGTTCGCCAAGTTGCGTATCATTTTACCAAAAACCTTTTGGATGTTGTCAATGATCTATTCTTGTGATAATATCATGATGATAAATTATATTCAATAGAAGTAACTGTTTTATCATCTTTCTACTTAAACCAACATTGCTCCACCAAATTTGGCATGGGTATATTCAGTGAGTTACTAGATAGAATCACAATTTTTTCTTGAATAGTTAACAAGGGAAAATTTCCTCCTCCTCAGGTTTATTTGGCTCAACCTATGCGCGAGCATAATATGGTGCATGTTCTTCAAGTTTCTGTTTAAAAGTCAAGAGTGGACTGTCATGACCTGTGTCATATGTCAGCAAGTACTGATTCTGACCACGCAAAAATGAGTTTGTAAACACATGGAAGAAGCAGTGTTTGTTCTGAACATTTATATTAATATTTTATTGCATAAGAATACTCTCAACTATCACTTGGATTGAACGAATTGACCTCAATTTATTATGCTGTTTGTCTTTACAAATATATTCTGTGAATCTGTAAGTAAATATTGCTATTCATCAACTGTTTCTTTTTAAAGCTGACAGCACTTGTGACAGTGGACAAGGGTCAACACTTTACTCTGACTCGCAAGGAAGCCAACAGAGTGTTGTGTACCCATCCATTCATGAATCGATGCCTCCTAGAGTACAGCAGATCTTCAGTCCACCTCAGAGTGAGATTCCGGCACCTTCCATTAGTTCACAGCAGTTATTGGCTCAATACCAACACACATCTACGGTAAGTTTTATAATTTTATTATGCTACTTCAATGTTTATTGACTGCTTTATTGTAAAATGAAATCTTTTTTCATATGAAGTGACTGCCAAATAAAAGTTGAATAACCAGGCCAACAGCAATTAAGATAAGTAACATACTTAAATTTTATCCCCAAGCTTGATTGGTTTTATTCTGGCTTAATGTACAAACGGCATGTATCATCAGCTGTTGTGTGCACATTATCAAAGAAACCCTAGTTTACTGCCTGTAAATTATAATCTTTAATATCTTTATTACAGATAGGTTCATTATCAAGTTCTTAATAATCACATTAATCATAGAAGTGTAGCAGATAGAAGCAGGAGTAAGCCAGTCAGCCTTTCAAGCCTGCTTATTCAGTAATCGTGGCTGATCATTTAACTCCATATACTCTTTTCCTGCTTTCTCCCAACATCCTTTGATCCTTTTTGCTCCAATAAATATATCTGTCTTCTTGAAGACATTCAATGTTTTGACCTCTGTGGCAGAGGATACCACAGACACACCATTCTCCGGATGAAGAAATCTTTCCTCATCTCTGTCCTACCCTTCAACTGTGGCCCCTGGTTCTGGATTCCCTGCATCTACTCTGTGTAATCCTATTAGAACTTTATATGCGTCTGTCAGAGAGACAGGTGCGCACATGTACTTGCTCACTCGAATACAGTCTTAACTGATCCAGTCGCCCCTTCTGTGTCAGTTCCACTGTCCCAGGAATCAGTCTGGTAAACATTTTTTGCAATCCTACTATAGTCAGAACATCCTTCAGATAAGGAGACCAAAGCTGCACAATATTCAAAGTGTTTGCTATTAAGTTTCAGAATTCACTAAGTCTTTGAGATGAAATTATGGAGGGAAAGTAGGAAGAGGAGCTTCACAAACCTTACTGTTCTGTGACTGAGCTGGCCATATTTGTAGTAAATAGCTTGAGAACACAGTTTGAGGTATTGAAACCTATTGTCTTGACTTGTAAATTGTGGTTTACTGTTTTTTGGCAACTTTTAGGGTTTGAAGACAATGTAGTCAAGTATTTTTTAAAAAAATGCTCTTTTCTGGTCTTTTTTTTTCATATGCTGTTAAAGGTAAGAATTTTTCTCTGAACCTGTAACTAGAATCTGGCTTTGCAAGTTGAGCAGTTTGTCTATTATGAAACTACAGTTGAAATTATTGAATGCCATGAAAAACCTTTTGAGTGTTTGATAATAGGTGGACTGAGTCTGGATTGATAGTGATATAGCAAAGGAGAATTTTAAAAAAAAAAAGGTAGTACGTAACTTTCATCTCCACTTGTAACAAAGTTGACGGCTTTAGTTGCCTTAATGTTTAAGTTTAATTTTAATTGCTACTCAATCAAGGAAATGATAAAGAATGCAAGAAATAGTTGGGAAAAGGGTTGGAAAGAATTCGTTATTAAAAACTAATAACAAATTGGCATCCACATGTTGGTCCTGGTTTAGATAACTCATTGTATTGGATGCTCTATTTGTTCCCCTTATCCCAAATAATCTGGGGTTTAGTTATGAAGTTGTTTCTTACAATTCTTATGTTTATCTGCCCTTAACATTTTTTTTAAAATTCAGTGTTCAGGAAAAGTTGTCTTTTAATCATCGTTTGTCGCCATCAGTTTTAGACTTAGCATTATATTGTATGTGATGTAACTCATAGGAAGTTATATTCATGCACATTGAATGTACAGCAGTGCTACCTGTGTAACTTGCAAATTCATTTATTTCTAAAACTCTGTTGGGGATCCAGAATGCAAGCGACAGGCTGATCAGCTTTCATGAAAGTTAAGGCATAATGATTGTTTTGGGGAGAAATGTGACAGATTGCTGGTTGGAATAGCAGATCATGAAAAGGAAACATGCTTCAATAAATTCAACTCCGCTTCCATTTCCTACCTGGCCCCATGTTCCTTGTCCACCTCTGTCAAAAAATCTACCCAACTCAGCCTTGAAAAAATTTAAAGACTGTTGCACCTAAAGCAGTCGAAACTGAGAATTCTGCAGACTGACAACACACTGAAATAAAATTTTCTTCTTATTTCTGCCTCAAAGAGCTGAGTGTTTTGTGTCTGAGGTGACTGAGTCGTATCATTTGAACAGATACTTGGAAAAGCTGTGCCATCAGTACAGTTGTGAGCTGACTGAGAAAGTATATAAAAATGTGCCTTGTTGGGATCTCTGATAGAATGAAGCTGCCAGTGTCAATGGCTTGAGGACCAAATCCTTTGACAAGGAAAAATGAGATACTCTGTGTACTGGACAGTGTGGTAGAAAGACTGAGAGACTGCCCATTGTATCACATTTGTGCAAGGAATGGTGCAAATGTTTGCAATTTTGTGTAATAGCTTTTGTATCTGCTATTCCATGTAATTTAGAGTTTATACCAACTATAATTTGAATTTTAATTCATGTTTCCATATTTCACAATTAAAAAGAATCATGAGTTTGAATTAGAATTGTGCAGAACCCCCATATGGTCATACTGATCTAGAGCCTGGATTTAGCCTTATCATTCTGCACCTTGTTTCAAACAACTTCCTTTTTAAAGTGACAGCCTAACTGTTGAATTATTTTTCTTGTATGATGGAGAAAAGGTTTGAAGGTTTTAGTAATGATTCATGAACCTCTTCATTAATGAAACTCAGTGATTTGCTCAATGTGTGAAAAAGTTATCCTTTAGGACCTTTTGAAATCTTTGCCCCCTCACCTGAAACCTGTGCCCTCTAGCTTTGGCCTCCCCCACCCTAGGAAAAAGACCTTGGTTAATCATCCTATCCATACCCCTCATGGCTTTATGCACCTCTATAACGTCACCCCTGAGCCTCCAACACTCCAGGGGAGAAAACCCCCAGCCTACTCAGTCTCTCTCTCTATATCTCAAACCCTCCAGTCCCAGCCACATCCTTGTAAATCTTTTCTGAGCCCTCTAGTTTAACAGCATCCTTCCTATAGAAGGGTGACCAGAGTTGTATGCAGTATTCTAAATGTGGCCTCACTAATGTCCTGTACAACCCCAACATGATGTCCCAACTTGTATGCTGAATGTGCTGACCAATGAAGGCAAGTGTGCCAAATGCCTCCTTCACCATCCTGTCTACCTACAACTCCACTTTCAAGGAACCATGCACCTGAATCCCTAGGTCTCTACTTGGCAACACTCCCCAAGGCCTTACCATTAACTGTACAAGTCCAGCCCTGGTTTGCTCTACCAAAATGGAACACCTCACATTTATCTAAATTAAACTCCATTTGCCACTCCTCAGCCCATTGGCCCATATGATGAAGATCCCGTTGTACTCTGAGAAAATCTTCTTCACTGTCCACTACACCACCTATTTTGATCTCATCTGCAAACTTCCTAACCATACTTCCTCTGTTCACATCCAAATCAATTATATAAATGGCAAAAAGCTGTGGGCACAGCACCTGTCATTGCGGCACACCGCTGGTCACAGGCCTCCAGTCCAAAAAACAACCCTCTACCACCACCCCCTCTCATATCGTCAAGCCAATTTTGTATCCAAAAACAAAGTTGCTGGAAAAGCTCAGCAGGTCTGGCAGCAACTGTGGAGGAGAAAACGGAGTTAACGTTTCGGGTCCGGTGACCCTTCCTCAGAACCCAGCCATTTTGTCTATCCCTAATCAGTCCTTGCCTTTCTAATTACATGTAAATCCTGTCCCTCAGAATCCCACAGCTGACATAAGGCGCACTGGTTCCCTGACTTTTCCTTCCCACCTTTCTTCAATAATGGCACCAAATTAGCCTACCTCCAGTCTTCCAGCACCTCACCCAAAGCTGTCGACAATACAAATGTCAGCAAGGGGCCCAGGAATGTCTTCCGTAGCTTCCCACAAAGTTCTGGGAAACACTTGACCAGGTCCCAGGGATTTATTTACCTTTGTGCATTTTAAAGATGTCTGACACCATGTCTAATATGATGCAAAATATTCATTTAGTATCTCACCCATCTCCTGTGGTTTAATGCACACATAGCCACTTTGATCTTCAACGGACCATATTCTCTCCGTAGTTACTGTTTTGCACTTAATGTAGTTATAGAATCTCTTTGGGTTCTCCTTGGTTCGAATCGCCAAAGCTGTCTCATGTTCCCTTTTTGACCTCTTGATTTCCTCTTAAGTATATTCCTGATGCCCTTATACTCCAAATGCACCTCCTCCAAACATTGTTTCCAGGAACTTTCAAATTCTCCCTGATCTTCCACATCTTATGGAAAGAGCATAAACTATACTAAAAGCCATTTCTGCTATTCCTATGACAATCTCCACACCCGGAACTACCTAAAAAGGAACGACACATTTGGCTCAAAAATGCAGTGTTAGTCTTACTGCTCAAAAACACTGCTATGGGATAAATTAATATTAAAAGTCAATCAAGCGACAGGTCGCAGAATAAACGTCATAAACGAGAATGCCCGTCACCTCACTACAGACTTACAAAAAAGAAAAATAACAGATTAAGATTTAGAAGTTTTGTAAGTCTTAAAATCAAACATTTACCTGATCAGGCTCAAAAACCAAAGGTCTTATGTAGTTTCAGGCAGTGATTTTTTTAAAACACTGATACATCTACAGCTGTACACAAAGCTGTTAAAAACATTAGTTGCTTAAAGTTAAACTAGCAGCACGTAGTGTCAATGGAAAATCACAAGGGATATATTTAAAATCAACTGATCCACTGCCACTCACTTTTCATCTTGAATTTACAATTTGCACCATATCATCCTAAAGCTTTTTGTAAAATGAGGTTTTAATGCTTTGAAGAGGTATTTAAATCTTGGCATAAGGTGGAAAATAAAAAAAAATCTGTAATGACTAGTTAGCATATAGATGTAATCGGTCCTGAAATGCCTAATAATGCAGTAGTGTAAATTTCAATTTCCCTTACCAGCCTGAATTAACTAACTGTAAAAATATAGAAATTATTTTTCTGCTATGGTGTGTTGTGGTTTTACCTATCAGACACTTCAACTCACTCCACTTTGATCAATAGCACCACATAGCAAATAGAGTTAAAAATACTCAAGCTAATCACAAAAATAAGAAAATATTGTAATTGTGCTTTTTTAATAGCCCAGCCCAATGATGCATGCCCCATCTGTTGTTTTACCTATACAACCTCATCAATTTGGGCCCCAGCAACATTACCAGCAACCAGCAGCAACACTTGCTGCAATGCAGATAGGACAACCTCAACAGGTGAGCACCAACCAACCATTAAGCAAATTTATTATTAAATTAAAGGTCCTAATAGAATGACCTGCATTACTGTACAATTTGTGAATCTTTCTAGTTTGTTATGCGATGCATATGTTCTGATTTCTCATAATTGGAACCTTTTTACTCCACTTCAGTATTTTCAATTACATTGTAATTGCACATTGAGAACATAATGCTTTACTTTTCATGCAATGGCAAAATCTTAATCTAAACTCTAATTGAACTAAATATTGTGGACATTACTGTTGGATTCTCTACTTTTTTTGTCTCTTGGTCCCGTTTCACATGCAACACCTGTGTAAAAGGAAACAAAGGTGTCTTTCGAGGAACTAATTTTACATGCTAATTTGTATTGCCAGTCGATCACAGATAAAATAAGTTTGATAGAAAAATGGGCACTGGCTTCAGCAATTTGTGATAAGGCCATCTTACTTGAAATTTTGATGGGAATTATACATACATATGGGTAAGGTAAGGAAAGCAAACCATGTGTGCAGGTTCTGAATTTTTTTAGGCTATGCTGAGAATTCTTGTTCTTGTTTCAGAAACAGGTGTTGACAGTACAGCCTCTTGTCCAGCCTGCAACTCTGCCACCGACACAGTATCAGGTGCAACAACCTCTGATGCCAGCACAGATATGCCATCATCCTGCTGAATTGAAGCCGTTACCGGTACACTTCTTATCTTAATATGGGCAGTATGTTTTAAGAATTATTGTTTATAAACCATAAAAAGCCAATAGCCTGGTCATTGACCATTACTTGTATATTAAGTAAAATTGTATTGCTCACAACTGCTTCCTTATACTGCTCCAGTCTTGTTTACTAGTGGAGAGAAAGCATTTCTGACCATTTGTAAAACTTGAGAATTATGGAAGGATCAGTACACCTGTACCCATGCCTAATCCAGTTTTTGAATTCAAGAGTGCCCTTTCCTTTACATTTGCGTCTCAAAGATTTTGAAAACCAACCAAAGATGCCTTAAAACAGAACGAAATTTAACTGGGAATCCACTGATATTATGTTCAATAACATTAATTCAGCTGGAAATTTTGCGGATTGTTTTTTTAAAAACCACCATTATGTTGGTCAAGAAACTTATGTTTTACATTTATATATAGTGCCAGCTCAATCAAAGAAGTGGCTGTCTAGATTGCACTATTAAGATTAGCTGTGCCAATTTAAAGTTGCAATTAAAATACAACTAATAGTATAGAAAATCATTGCCATGGGGATGAATATGTTTAGTGAATTTGGATTTTTAAAATTGAAACTTTCTTTTGTGTAATCAAAACAAATCACCTGTTTATCACTGTACCAATTTGAGAAAATCTGCTTTCAATTTATTGAAAATCATTCTGAAAGAGCAAAGCGTGGGTAAGTAAGTCAAGACAATCCTGAAGGACTAATTACTATGATATGTGAATTTCTTAAATTCAGTAAGTACAAAAGGTATCATAACATTTCTGGGCTTAGTTTTAGGACATAAAGCTGGGCAGATGGAAGGACTGGCAGTGAGAGAGCAGTTTTGTGTTGGTGATAATAATTCAGTTAGTTTTTAATATAGTAATGAAAAATGTCAAGGATGGAACAGGAGTTAGAGTTTTGCATTGGCAAAAAGCCAAATCTTACTAAGCTGATGAGTGATTTAGCTAAACTGGACTGGAAACTGATACTTGAGTGTAAATTGATGTCAAAACAGCAGAAGATATTTAAACAGGACAGTCAAGAGATTCTGAGTAAGCTGGTTCCCACAAAGGAAAAAGGGTGGGGAGGCCAAATCTAGAGCCTTTGAATGTCAAGGATCTTACATGGTAAGATAAGGTGGAAAAGGAAAGTTCATGTCCGATGCAGGGAACTCGATTCTAAAGACAGCTGAAAGGAGTATAGAAAGTGAAGGGATGAAATCAGAAGGAAATTAGAAAATTAATGAAGTGGAATGAAAGAATATTGACAAACAAAATTAAGGTGAACCTCAGATGTTTTGTCAATACATGAGAGCAAGAGGATGACGAAGGAAAGAGTAAGGCTAAGAAAGACCAAGAAGGTAAGCTATGCTTTGAAGAAGAATCTTTTTCATAGTTGTTAATGAATACTTAGCATCAACACAAAAGAAGAAGATGGTGCAGATATTGTGGTTAAGGTGAGGGAATATAAAATAATGGATGTGATAAATACTGTGGAAAGTATTAATGGGATTATTATTGTTGAAATTGGATAAATCACCAGGCCCAGGTTTGTAAATTAAATCCTCAGAGAAATTAGCAGCGTGTCCTGGCCATTTTTTTCAATCCTCACTGGATATATGAGTGGTGCTGGAGGATTGGATGATGATGTAACTGCTAATGTTGTACCTTCCTTTAAAAAGAAAATGAGGGATAGATCAAATAATCATGGTCTGGTCAGTCTAACTTTAGTGGATGCATCTTTGGAATCAATTTTACAATATAGGATAAACTGTAATTTCAAAAGCCACAGATTAATCAAGGATGATCAATAGGGATTTGTTCAGATTGTATCTACGAACTTGATTAAATTTTGAAAGGTAGTTGATTGTTAAAGATAATGCAGTTAATATGGTCCACATTGATTTTAGTTAGGCACTTGACAGCATTCCCACATAGAAAGCTAAGTTTAAAAAAAAGTAAACCCATAGGATCCAAGGGAGTGTACAAGGCTGTGTACAGAATTGAATCAGTGGCAGAAAACAAAGGGCAATTGGTTATGGGTGTTTTTGCAACTGGAAAGCTGTTTCCAGTAGAGTTCCACAGGGCTTAGTATGAGGTCTTTTGATTTTCTTAATATATATTTAACAATTTGGACATAAATGTAGAGAATATGTTCAAGTAGGTTGCAGGCAACATAATTGGTAGACTAATGGAAGATGTTGATGGACTGGTTAGGTGGGCAAAAAAGTGGTAAATGCAATGCAACCCAGTCAGTGAGGTGCTACATTTGGAAATGTCAAAACAAGGCAAAGGAAAGCACAATTAATGGGAAAATATTGCGAGACATAGAGCGAGTGAGGAACCTTGGAGTGAATGCCTGTAGGTCACTGATAGTAGCAGGACAGGTTAAATAGGTGGCTAATAAGGCCAGTAAAATTCTGTCCTTTATTAGTTGAAGTGTAGAATACTAGATCAAGGAGATTTGTTCTGGAACTTTATAAATTGCTAGTTCAGTACTTCAGTACAATATGCAGCTCTGGTCACCTCATTGAAAGGATGTAATTGAATTAGTGAGTGTATAGAGGAGATTTATTAAGCTGTTGGCAGGACTACAAAATGTAGCTCTGAGGAAAGTTTGGATAGGTTAGAGTTGTTTCCTTTGGAATACAGGCGAACGAAAGACGATATGATTGAGAAGTAGAAAGTTGAGGGGGTCTTAGTGACCCGGAAAGGCTTATTTACTACTTTAACAGAGAGCAGTACGGATCCCAAATGGTAATTGGTAAGATTAGAGGGGAGATGAGGAATAGTGTTTCATTCTGAGGGTATTCCGATGGGATCTGGAATTCACTAACTCAAAGTAGGTAGTAAGATATTGGTAGAGACAGAAAATTCACTTAAAAAGTGTATGGATGTGCACCTCGAGTGGTGTAATCTGAGGTGCAATGGACTAAGTGCTACACAGTGATTAAGCAGGGTGGCTCATTATTTGGCTGACACAAACATGATGGGTTAAGTGGCTTCTTTCTGTGCAGTAAACTAAACCTTTTTTAAGTCCTGGTCCACAGAATTGAGTACAAAAATCTAAGCATTCTAGTGCAGTACTAAGAGAATGCTGCACTGCCTTATGGTTTGTTTTTTGGATGAGCCATCAAACTGAGGCGCTCTGAGGTGAATGTAAAAGATCACATGCTGCTATTCAAAAGAAGTAGAAGATTTGTCTGTGGTATCCTGCCCAATATTTATTGCTCAATGAAAATCACACAAACAAATTAAATGGCCATTATCATATTGCTGTTTGTGAGAGTCTGCTGTGTACAAATTGTCTGCTGTATATTCAAGGTTACAACGGTAACTCTACTTGAAAAGTACTTCGGTGTCTGTAAAGTGCATTAGGATATTCTGAGCTCTTGATAAAAAGTTCCTTGATTAGAGCTATCTTGCACAACAGAGATGTGGCTTTAGATGCAGTATCCAGTCCACTCTGTTAGGATGCATTTTCAAAGATTATCCTAAACTAAATAATTGTAGGCAACGTGAACCCGGTTTCCAGTAGCCATGAAACTACCAGCAAATCTTTAATGCTACCCTGTGTGGTAACAAAAATTAGTTGCTTTGAGAAATGGGAAGTACAGGGCAACTACTTTGATCCAGTTGCAAACAAGGTGAGCTAGATATTTTTTAATTAACCTGTTCAGAGATGTTATCACACACCTCTGTAGCAAATGGAACTTGAACTCAGGCCTCAATCAAGGTGAACAAACACACAAAGCAAGCAGATTTTCTAATCAACCTGTTAAGAGATGTAACTATACACGTCTGGAGTAAGTGGGACTTGAACTCTGGCTGCCTGACTCAGGGAAAGGGAAAGGCGCCACTGTTCAGCAAGACCCATAATCAAGGTGAACTAAAAAAAATTATTAATCTATTTTCCAATAAACCCGTTCAGAGATGTTCCTACACACCTTTGGAGCAGTTGGGACTTGAATCCAGGCTCCTTGGTCCAGTAGTAGAAACAAGTTGACCTAAATTTTTTTTATAACTTATTTCCTAATCAACCAGATCAGAGATGTTATTACACACGCCTGGAGCAAGTGAGACTTGAACCCAGGTCTCATGGTTCAGGGGTACAGAAGCTACCACTGCACCACAAGACTCCTCCTTCAAGATGAACTGATGCATAAAGCAAGGAAATTTTCACCTATACCTAATGTTGCTGTGCTTCATCAAGAAGGGTTCATTCAGCATTAGATATAGAAACAGAAGGATTGTTCCAGGTTACTATCACTCATGGTTGT